TAAAATAAAGATAATTTTACATAATTAAAAAATTAAAAATTTACATTTTTTAGCTAAAGTGTTGTCTGAAAAATGTCTGTTAGAAGCTTCATCGAACGGAGCCTTAGTTCACATGGAAAGAAGAGTATCTGAAACTACAGAAGCAATGAGACCGAAAAAGGTCTTTTTTTTTTTTTTTTGGTGAAGATAATAATTAATTGACCATGACAAGAATCAACCAGGAATACCAATATCCTTGCATTTTCATTGACATTTATTTCTATATGAAAGTATGAATACATTTGGTGAGTAAAATACATTACATGCTGCCCGTGGAAAACTGAAGGTTTTCTTGTGTCAAAGGGCATTTAAATCCTAAATCCTGAATATTTGATTTATCTGATACGGTAAAAAATGAATGTAAGCGAAAAAGTGTATACATGATCCTAGTGGAAAAGAATGAAAAAGAATTCCTATATCATCTTTTCTATTCACAGAAAAGAATGAATTAATCTGGAATTATGAAACGCTAGCGGTCACACCTTCCAGTAATTCTTTCAACAATGAAGTGGGGAAGACCGTGTTCTGTAAGGAGTGCTTCTTTGCAATAAACTCCTTTTCCTGGGCATAGGTGACCTAAAGCTTGCTGTCATTTCCTCACTGCAACGTGATGGAGAAGATACTAGTACTGTTGGACTCAAACCACTAGCAGAGCGGGGGGAGAAGTATGATTTCAAGTGGCGAGCACTTCTGGGAGACAAGTTCACTTGCTCCAACGCCTGAAACTGGAGCTCTGTGGGATAGTCCCTCACACAGCTAATTCGCGGTCCTGCTCCTGTTGTCCATTTGCAAGACAACTGTTTTCCCAATTGATAAGAATTTGATTCCTTTTTGGAGTTGATCCTTTTCACAATCGATTCCTTGGCAATATATTCATTCTCTTCACATTCTTTATCAACCATCTGCTGCTTTGGAGCAAATGCTTCTTCAGATGTTCTATAACCATCTTCCAGTACTGGAGAGTCCATTGAATTATCATTACAACTTGGTCCCAGAGCTAAATGGTCATTATGTAACCCTCCAAACAGTTCATCCCCATTTGGTGTTTCAAGATAAGTCAAATTTCTTCTTGACTTGGAACATTCAAGTGCTCCCATAGCCTCTTCTATAGAATTAGCTTCCTCTTGAGCCAGGTCTTTGACATTGATCTCTTCAGTCTCTAAGCTATTCAACGTTTGAACCAAGTTGTCCTCAGATGAGCCCCATCTTAGGTGCTTGTTGCTTCTTTGGTTGTCAATTAAGCTTTCTTCCTCATCAACTGCAGTCATCTGAATATAACAAAAGAAGTGTGTTCAGCATATTCTCTTTCAAAATTGCCCAACAATAATACAAAAAGCATATAAAACATTTTCTTTCATTTTTTTACCTTGACATCTGTAAGATCCACATTGTTTTCCCCAAGGAATGAAATGAAGTCCTTGAAATTCTCTTCTGTAGGTCGATAGTGACCACTATGTGGCCAAACAGCCTGTTGAAAGTAACATAAAATCATCATTAGGAAACTTTTTCAACACAAAAGGAGAACTAAAGCTACTATTAAGCCAAAGGTAAAAGATGTATAAACAGCAAGAAAGTTACAACCACACCTTAAGGACTCCATTTTCAGCAACTAATCTTCCAGCACCAATTGTGGCTCCTCCAGCCAAGAAGCTTGAGTGTTGAAATGTACCTTTCTTCTTCTGGCCAGCATACAAGGTCTTTGACGTGCTAAGGACAAATATCCACTTAGAATCTCCAGTTGTGTGAAGGAGCTGCCCTGTTTGCTTGAATAAGAATTTTCCATCATCAATGACAACTTCATAGGCTACCCTTTCCATCTGCAAAACAAAAACATGTTACTAAAAGTTTGAACAAGAATAGAATAACATTTGATGAAGAAAGAAACAAATGCTCACCGGACCAAGGTACTTGATGCACTGTTGTTGAAGTTTTGATCTAGGACATGTTTCAATAAGAGTCACTTCTTTCCCCTCTCCAATATCCAACCTGCATTTTTTTAAAATGCAAACATATTAATTTTTTCAATTCAAAGTATCAGATTTCCAAGTTCCAACAAGTCAAAGTTCCAACTAGTTCAGAAAAAAGCTTTTGGTCAAGGGAATTTACCAGTAGAAGAAGGGTTCTTTACTCTGAGAATGAAGCCATTCATCATAATAAAAATGTAAATTATGTCCATATCGATGCCTTGGGTCAATCTGAATGAAAACAAAGAGGACTAGAATCAGTAACAACTAATGTGAAAACATTAGTGAACTAAACTCCTTCTACAGCACTTGACTTACTGCCTCAAGCCAATGCTGTAAAGCAAGCTTTTGAGCTTTATCATTCTTTGATAAACCTTTTCCCACCTTGGCTGCTCTAGTTCTTGCTCTTGACCAACGCGAAATAGCAGTTTCATGTTTCTCTATATCAAAGAACGATATAGAACTCCGTTTGAGTTCAGCAAAATCTAATAGCTTCCACCTACCATTCCAACAATAAATTGCATCAGCAATCATGGAAAACAGCAAGCCTTGTATATAGAAAAAAGATAGGATTAGCACATATAATACATACCAGCTCTGCTCAATGAGAACTGCACAATCTGCTAACTTTCTCCTTGTTCTAAAGCTCTTGTACACTTTTTGCAATTTTATTGCAGCCTCATGTTTGGGCTTACTCAGATCTAAAATTGGCAATCGTTGGATGATAGTCCCTTCTGAATCATCTGATCTCGGAGATGGAGTATCAATTGCCATGCACTTTGGGCTAACTGCTTTAATGTGCTCATTCATTTCTTTATCCGAGGAAGTAGACTTGGTTGACAGCATCCTCTCCAATTCCCTCCCTTTAAAACTAACAGATCCTTCTAATATCATCCTTCCCAAGCCTAAGGATTTCAGTATCTGGGGCTCTGAATCTCGACCCTTGAAACTAATAGACCGCACAGGTGTCTTCACCTCATCATCTCCAAAACTAATGGATTTGACAATGACAGTCTCTAAGCCATTTTCCGTATCACTACATTTAGCAAATGGATAGGAAAAGGAAACACCCATCCCA